CTAAAATCTAATCATCACTTTATTATGTCAGTTCTATTTCTGTTTCTTGGACCCATCCTTCCTTTTTTCTTATAATAAAATTTATTTTTTTTAAATCAATAAATATTTCATTCCCTTTCTCAGCCTCTCCAGAAAAAAAGGAAAAAGAAAATTCCTGTATAGTCAAGCAAAAAAATAGATCTCATTGGCCATGTCCAAAAATGTGTGACTCATTTTGCATATTAAGTCCTCTTTGTCAGGAGGTGGGTATCATTCTTTGTCATCAGTCTTCTGGAATAATGATTGGTCATTGTACTGACCAGTTATCAACTCTTTCAAAAATGTTTTTCTTTATTATGTTGTTATTGTTTAAATTGTCCTCCTGATTCCCCTGTCTTTATATCAATTCATATGTCTTTCCATTGTTACTGAACCCATCTCATCATTTTCCTGCAGCGTGATAGTATTCCATGACATTCATATTCTATAATTTGGCCATTCCCAAAATGTTTCATGTGAATCCCTACCATTACCACAGTAGTTCAGGGCTCTATTAAATTTAATTTCTTGTTCTTTTTTATTATGAACTTAACACTCATCAGCAAACAAACATTTTAATATCCAATGAACAAAAAGGGGTATTGTGAACAAAACACAAACTGCTCTCATGTAATATGCTTAAAAAGTGTATATTAAATTTAACTAGATTATAACAAAGTTACCATGTTGATTTGTGTCCCCTCCTGAATGTCTTTTTTATCTTCTTCTGAATATTTTGAATTCTTGTTGCTGCTTTTTTTTCTTCTCTATAATAGGACCATAGACCATAGGATCATAGAACCCTAGAAGGGACCTCAGAGGTCTAATCTAATCTCTCTCATTTTATAGACAATGAAACTGAGGCCCAAGGAAGTCAAGTGATTTGTCCAAGCTCAAATCATTGGGCTATTGTAATGGGCTCTCAAGTAGTACTCGCACTTCCAGTCTCTTCCTGCTTTAGTCCATAAAATTGATTGTTCTCAGATGATTGTTATAAAACATTATTTTCTTTCATTTCTTTCTTCAACTCAAAAACCATCAATGGGTCTGATAAATAAAACCCACACTTCTTGGCCTGGAAGCCAAGGTTCTCCATGCATTAATCTCAATTTACCTTTATGGCCATCTCACCCACTACTTCCTTACATATATTCTACATTCTAGCCAAATTGTACTATTACCCATTCCTTAAATACACCCTATGCCTTCTTGATTCTTTGTTCAAGCTGATTTCACCACTTAATATGTCTTTACCACCATCTCCCCTTATCAAAATCTTACCCATAATTCAAGGCCCAGCTCTTGCCACTTCTTCCATGAAGACTTCCCTGATGCTCTTCTTGCCATCTCATCCTAATATGGCTTCCTCTTCATCAAGAAGTGATTTCTCCCTCTTCTGAACTCTCAGTTTTCTTTTTTTTTCCCAGTCAGTCAAAACATATTTATTTAGTTTTTATGTGGCAGGCTTTGTGCTGAGCATGAGGATACAAAGAAAGCCATAATACTTTCTTGACCATTTCAATTGGTACTTACAATTTACTGTTTTTCTTATTACAGTATCTGTGTATATGTCATTTCACCCACTATATTGTAAACTGCCTAAAGGCAGAGACCAGGATTTATTCACCTTTGTATCCCTTGCAGTGCCTATAATGAAGCCTTACATATGGCAGAGGCTCAGTCAATACTTGTTCAAAATAATGTTATAGTGAATTTAGCTAAGCAGTTGAACCTGTCTGCTTTGCCATAGAATTAGACTTCCTGTACAATGATTTTTCCAAATAAATCATGTGGCATGATTCAAAATTTGTTTATTTTACACTAGATAGAAGTACTTTTGAAAAATACTTCAATATATCCAAGGATCTTTACTTTCATTGGTATGATTACAACCCCTCTTCCCCACCTCCCCAGAGCATGTGTTCTTAATGTAGTTTTTAAAAATATTTTGATAACTACATACTGTTATAATTGGAATTGTTCTTCTTTGTAATTCTATGTATTTTGTTGTATGTGTTTAAAAACATTATCCTGTGAAGGGGTCCAAAGGCTTCACCAAATCAGCAGAGGGGGCCACAACATAAAGAGGGTTAAGAACCCCCACCCTAGACCTTACTAGAGGGTGTTTAAGGATTGGTGTGGCTGAAAATTTAAAACTTGACCTTGAAGTCATTTTGGTAATGAGCCTCTGTGAACTGAGCTAAGCTGGTATCGTAAAAGTAGATTTGGAAAGGATCTCAAAGGTCATTTAATCAACCATTTTCCCCTTATAGATGAGGAAAGTGAAACCCAGGAAATGAAGTGATTGGTCCAAGGCCACAGAAGGATTCAGGGGCAGGGTTTGAACTCAGGTCCTCCACTCTAGAATCTCTAGAATATATTTTATATTCTATATATAGATTATATTATATATATAATAATTATATATATAAAAATTATATATATAATAATTATATATATAATAATATAATCTATATATAGAAAGGGAATAAAATATTTATTGATTGAAAAAAATAAATTTTATTATAAGAAAAAGGAAGGATGGGTCCAAGAAACAGAAATAGATATAAAATTATATATATAAATATATATATAATATAAATACATTATATATAATAATGCCCATTCTCAGACAACAGATAAGCAGTCTATCACCTGGATTTTCCTTGAGTTTTTTCTAGGTTGATATAGGACCTGTTATAGTTTAAGCTTCATCAGCTCATCTTTTGGGAACTCAGGGTCACCTCCATGCCATGAAAAAATGTTAGAGTAGGACTTTAGTAAAGAACAGTCCATAATAGGACTATAAAATTGAGTTGGCCTTTTATATCATTGTGACACACACACAAAAGTTATAATTAAATCAGGACTAAATAAGTCCTTACAATAGTAATGTAAAATAATTAGTCAAAGTGTACTTTTAATCCCATAAAATTGGTTTATAAGAGCATTGATCTATAGCTGACTTTCTGAGTTAATTGGTATTCCTTTTGGCAGAGAGAAGCATTTAGTATATGGCATATGATATAGATTATGTAAAGTGATTTCCTATTTTTCTACTTCTTACATCAGCAAGATTTTAAAGCTATTGTTGCATTTGTTGATGTTTTTACATTTTTCAACAACTGAGTTTTTTTAAATTGTATAAACACCAGCCAACTATCCCAGGAGCATGGTATATTGCAATGGTATCAGACTCAAATAGAAAGAGGAACTACTAATGTTAAAGCTACTAACCGCTAATTAAGGATAGCTGTGGGTTACATCTTGACTTAAAAAACTGTGTTAACATTATCTATGTTCTATTGGTCAACTATATTCTAAAGGCAGTTAGGTAGTGCAATGGGTCTGAAGTCAGGAATACTCACGTTCTTGAGTTCAAATCTGGCCTCAGATACTTACTAGCTGTGTGACCTTGAGCAAGTCACTTAACCTTCAGTTTCCTCACCTGTAAAATGACCTAGATAGAGAAATGGCAAACCACTCCAGTATCTTTGCCAGGACAATCCCAAAAGGGGTCATGAAGAGTCAGACCCGACTGAACAACAACAGCAACAAATTGTATTTTTATTTATTTTGTAGACAACGTTTCCCAATTATGTTTTAATCTGGTTCTGGCCCCACTTGCATTTGACGGTGTAGTATACAGAGAACTGAAATTAGAATTAAGAAGACTTGGGTCAAAATTGTACCTAGCCATGAGATCCAGGGAAAATCATTTAACCCCTCAGAGCCTTGGTTTCTTCTCTGCAAAGGGAGTGGTCTGGACACAAAGGCCTCGAAGGTCCCTTCCAGTTCTAGAATATATGCACCTATTCTCTGTAATCCTAAAAATGAAGGACTCTTCAATAAAAAAGTTAGGGGGATTTTGTAAAGCAACCTTAACAACGATAACGTAAGTCAGTGAATATGCTTTTCCCATGACTCTGTGCCAGTGTAATAGATCCATTTTTAAACAGGCATATTATTAAATGAAGATTCACAAACACTACCCTGAGATAAGTGGTTGTTATTTAAAAATGGCTGTCATGTTCCATGACCTCTATCTCTGTGGATTTCTTGAATGAACAACTGGTCCTGATTTATTAAGTAAGATACCTGCTCAGTCTGTTCGGTGATGGATGATCTTGAAGGAGATGAGGCTGATTTTGATTGAATGCTTTAGTGGTTCC